GGGGGATGGCCTGTCACGACGCAACGAGATGGGGCGTTCGGGTGCGATCATATCTAGCGCCCTGGACATCTCCCCATTATAGAGAGTTACCAAGGCGTCGATAGAGTCGCCAGGCTCCAAGGCAGGAAGAACCCCAAGATTCCTCAGGAATCCGTCCGGATCCATCAGTCTCCTGGGGCGGACCATTTTAATCTGTCCTCCACCCCTGCGGAGGTTAAGAGTCGCAGCAAGTCTAAAAGTGATCAGATAATGATCAGACCATGACACCGGAAGGATGTTTTGATCTTCCACTCTAATCATTTCGTTGTCCGCCACGAAAACAAGGTCAAGAGTATGTCCAGCTTGATGAGTGGGACCAGATATTATTTGTGACAGTCCTATGGCCGTCATGGTGGCCATAAAGTCCTGAGCTGCGCCAGATAGGGTGGTCTCAGCGTGGATGTTAAAATCTCCCAACACCACAAAGCGCTGGGAAACCAAGGCCGAATTGGAGACCACCTCCGCTAGCTCAGACAGGGAGGCTGCTGGGTCGCGGGGTGGGCGGTACACCAGCAGGAACCCCACACTGTCACGGCTCCCCACTTTCAAGTGGACACACTCGAACCCAGAAGCCTGCGGAACAGCGCATCTGATCACGGCGATGGATTGCCGAAAGACTACTGCGACCCCTCCTCCCCGCCCCCCTTGTCTGGCCTGCTGATGCACTCCGAAACCTGGTGGGCACAGCTGAGAGAGATTTACTCCCCCCAGCTCGTCCAGCCAGGTCTCGGTGATGCATGCCAGGTCCGCCCTCTCATCCAGGATCAAGTCCTGGATGGCCGCAGTCTTACCATTAACGGATCTGGCATTAATCAGCAGGACCTTAAGACCAGGGGGACTGCCAAGGGGCCTACCACTACCTACCTTCTCCAGGGTCGCAAGGACTCTGTTACGCTTCTCCCTGGGATATCGGTGACCCGCTATTCTCCTCCCCCACACGACTTGAATGGCACCCCCTTCATCCGGAACCCTCCCCCCCCCCTACATGGCCGGGATCTGTAACTAGTCAGCTCTCAGAGGAAGAGGTCGGGCTGGGGAATAATCTCCCTTGGGCGTTAGGTAGAGATGTTTCTGATAATGAGGTAGATAATGAAACATCAAGGGAGCTGAGTGGACTGAATAAGGGGAGTGTTCTCGAGCGAAGGAGTGTAGCTGGTTGAGTGGGGGCGACCGGGGCAGATGGAGTCTCAAAATTATACGAACCAGGAGGGGGGGCCCTAATCGGTGAGCTAGTTTTTATTTACATAAAAACTCTGTTGATTGGCTATGAAAGACAGCATTATAGAACAAGCCCGCTATTTCCAGATAACTTTCCAGATATCAAGAATTTAATATATAATTAGATGTATTTCTATGTAATAAAGATATTTTTTATTTGTTTTTAACTGCTTTTGTACTAGGCACAAGAAGGAATGTTTTATCAGAAGTTCATTGCTCATATATTTCTGTGCTTTCCAAATTGCCTTGACAGTTTAAGAATGCAGCTTTCTTGTCTCTCTGACTTTTTAATTGCTTCTTTTTCCTCCATGGTTTATCCAGTCTCATGTCCTTTGTGACAAACAGAAATGTAAAATCCGTAAGCTATCACCTTCAAGTATCCTATCCATTTACAGTAACCTCGTGAGTTTCATAGAGTTTTCTTAGTGTTATCGGGAAATTGGACCTCCAAATTACATAAATTATATGAATTATGAGATGCGGCTCCATTGGGACCTACAGCATGTGTGAGTGCTTTTGTCCAAACCTTTCATGCTTTGGAATGTAGCTGAACACACCATGAATCCCAGGAAACATAACCTCACATTTCTATAATCCCCTCACAATGGACAGGAGGGGGAAATATGCAATGAACTTGCATCAGAGTCCAAGTCTTTTTCCTATTCTCATCTGACATGGTCTGGGAACGTCTCTCAGTCATGCTCGAAATAATCATCACCCTAAAACACCCATTGTATTTCTGGATGGCACTATTGTTTTCACTGAAGCCCTGACATTAAGCCTATCAGCTATCACCACACCACATTCCTTTCCAATCACACCCCCTTCAAAGATGATCAAAACATGAACAGACGCTTAAAAATTAACGACAGTTTATTTGAGTTTCCTGCAATGGCAGGGACCAACCAGTGATGACGTTGGAGGGAAACCCCAACCGAGAAGCGGATCTTAGCCAGATAGTTTCTGAACCAATAAGGAGCTAGTGTGAGGATCCTGAATAGATGTCAGATGTAATCAATATGTTCTGTGTTCACAATTGCAGTATGCCAGTACTTTGGGGGTATTTTCTGCTCTTTTGGCCACTGAGAATAAACATCTGATTGGGCCTTTCACCTGTCTGTGTCTTATTTGTCCTTCTGGAAAACTTGACATGCTGGGCCCTGAACCCACGGTTGTAGGGATGAAATGCTTAGAGGTGGCTTTGCCAATTCCTTTCTCTGAAATATAGCCAATAGCATGTTGAATTTGTTGGTGGTTCTCCCATTCAAGTACTAATTAGCACTAATCCTGGTCGGTTTGGATATTGGACTTGTGCTTTGACCCTTGAACTATGTGTTGGATATCGGACTTGTGCCTTGTACCTTGTACTCCAGCTTTGGATATCAGATGTGGACTAGTTTGTAAAAGACTGTGTATTTAAACCTTTTGGAATGGATATTGGAATTGACTTGCTTGCTCCTGTTTATTGACCTGACTATGGTCTTAAATCCTGGCCTCTGACTACACTTAGAAGAAAGGTTCCAGACCTTGACAGGCATTAATTTTATTGAAGGTTTAATTATATGTTTAACTTTTGTACACTTTAACATTTTAGTTATATCTCTTTTAATGTTTGTAAGCCACCTTATGTCCCAGAATGGAAAAAAAGGATGCAGTTATTATAAACGTGACCTGTATTAATACAAGAGAGCCAAAGCAAACCATCATTTTTGAGTAGCAGTAATGACTACCGTAGTTCAACAGTTAGTGGTTGCAATTTTATATCTTTAAATATCTGTTGCTTGAAATTAGTATGTGTTTTAATGAACTTTATATGTTGTATTTCCATGGGAGGAGGCAGGCAAGAAATAATAATAATAATAATAATAATAATAATAATAATTATTATTATTATTATTAATTCTCTCTATATATAAATGTTCTGTTTGTTTTGAATGGCATCATAACTCAAAATCCACTGGACGAATTGCCACAAGACACTTACTAAACCAAGGAGTGACCTTCACTTAAAAATTGATTTTGTCATTTGGGAGTTGTAGTTGCTGGGATTTATAGTTCAGCTACAATCAAAAAACAATTCTGAACTCCACCAACAATGGAATTAAGCCAAACTTGGCACACAGGACTCCCATGACCAATAGAAAACACTGTAAGGGTTTGGTGGGCATTGACCTTGAGATTTGGAGTTGTAGTTCACCTACATCTCAAACAATGATGGATCTGGACCAAACTTGGCACAAATACTCCATATGCCCAAATATGGACACAGATGGAATTTGGGGGAAATAGACCTTGACAACTGGGAGTTGTCGTTACTGGGATTTATAAATTACCTACAATCAAAGAGCATTCTGAACCCTACCAATGATAGAATTGGGCCAAACTTCCCACACAGAACCCCCATCACCAACAGAAAATACTGTGTTTTCTGGTGGTATTTGTCGACCCCTCTGACACCCCCTCATGACCCCCCCCCCAGGGGTCCTGACTCCCAGGTTGAGAAATGCTGTCTTAAGGCCATCCAGTCCAACTCCCTCCACCAGGACAAGAAAACATAATTGAAGCCCTCCTGACAAAGAGCCATCCAGCCATAGATATAGATATGAATCACACACACACATGTATATATACATCAGATATAGTATCATAGATTTGAAAGGGACCCCTAAAGAAAGACAATTATATGTTGGATGTTCCAGAGAAGGTGTAGTTCAGCCTGTGATTGTCTCTGTGCCTCAGGAGTATGATCATGTTCAGGACCCCTCAGAGCAGGACCCTTCAGAGGTTTCCATGTTTGATTTAATGATCAGGGTTGTGTAGATTCTCAAGGGTTGGTGAATGCAGATGATGGCCTAGAAAATACAGTTAGCCAGAGTGATCTGAAGGATTCTGGGATTGCTGTTTCTCAAGGCAGAGATGTTTTAGACAGCCTGATGTGAAACAGCTTGAAGCTGAGGAGTCAAGATTAGATAAGGACAGCGAAAGGGTTGCAATCTTCGATCAAAGACTGCAACCCGGAGGAGGCACTCTTTAATCGAAAAGGGCAGATTTATCATGATCGCCACCTGGACCAGGGAAAAAGGCACTCTGCTAAGATAAGAGAAAGAGTTTGAAAGATATTTCCCAAGGGAATCAGAATGCTTTTGTGATGGCCCTATGAATAAATACAGGGCCTCTGCAACCCCGTCCTTTAGTGAGTGCAACATCTAGCTTCATGCCTGCTGCATGTCTTTGTTTCATGTTTCATACTGAGACTCATGTAATTTCTTGCTCAAGAATCGTGTTCATGCTGATATTTTTGTGGGTGCTGTTTCCTGATTTCCAGTTACTGTCTTTGGATTTATTTAAGTTTACTTCAGGACTTTCCAAGGGACTTTGTCTACTTACTTCTTGATTTTAAGGACTATTTTCCCATGGACCCTTCACTGGACTTGAGAACCAATCTGGTTCTCCTGAACTTGCTGGCTAAGTCTACTATTCTTATGGATTGCTGAATGAACATTCCTTTATATTCCTTTTGATTGCATTTTACCTATTTGACATTTGCTTTATTATTCCTCAATAAACTGCTTGCTTATTAAGAACATTGGTGTGTTTGTGGGTTCAAAGGTGCTTATCACAGCCATGGTGTGCGACAGAAGGCAAACCAGACAATCTCTACATCAACACTGACAAAGAAACAAGAAGAAATACTGTTTACCCATAAGCATAAAGACATTAGATATATTAGAAATCAACACTTTCTCATTACTTTATTTTCCAGATCACCAGACTGGGCCACAGCAACATGTGGCAGGGGATGGCTAGTTATTATTAGAAAGCACTGAAGATTTAAAACTTTTTAGATGCAGTTTATTGAATTTAAAAGATGCAGAACAATGGTAAGAAGGAAAACCATCACTAAACGATTTTACAACACCGAGCAGCAGTCCAGTCAATCCTGTGACATTGGCAGTGACATGTGGAGTCACCACGGACGTCCCAAGAACCACAGGCCATTCCACAGGAACATCCAGTGACTGTGTACCCTGTGGGTATAAAAGGGATTGCTAGATGACCAGACAACCTATGATCTAAATGGACATCCTCCCATCTGATGTGGAAGATGCCCATCTCTGTCTGCAGAATGTATCATTTTCTTATCCTCCTCTCCACACACCTCCCTCAATTCCTATTTTGATCCCAATCAGAGCTTGCTCCGCAACACAGTAAAATGTCTCACCGTGAGGGCAGGAAGCAAGAGCTCCACGGGAAGAAGTGAAGACACAGTTCAGTCCGCCCCTTACTATAACTACAGCCGCTGTAAGATGAGATAAAGGATAACTATTAACCACATGCTCTCCTTGCTCCAAATAGAAGAAGAATCTTTTTTTATACTGCTATACAAATACCTAGGATTAATGGGAATTTACTATTATTCTTGAGGAAGCATGAATGATCTCTGAACACATTCACCCACAAAAGAAAAATCCATTTCAAGCATCTCTGGGTTATATCTAATTTATTACAGTTTTCCGTGATCATTCTTCTTTGTTCCGTGTTGCTCATTCCTACAGTTCTGCAACAAGATTTTATGTAAAATGGCTTTGGATAAGTAATTGTGAAGATATGAAAAGTGCTGCAAAGGGTGACTCAAGGAAATTAAATAAACTTAAATTTTAACAGCACTATAAACATTGGGAAGACCAGACAATTCTAATAAATTAAAGAGAATAAAAGAAAACTAACTTAAGACAGTGGTTTAGTAAATACATGGAGAACTGCATTGGGGCTGAAAAACAAGAAGATATGAGCTCACAATAGAAGGGTAAGCGGCAATGACTCCTGCTGGCCATGAAGAACAATTACAATGGGAAAGATGTTTCTTTTTAAACTGAGCTGTGATAAATAGTATTAGGGGTAAATGTGTGTTTAGTTTTTGTTTTCCTTAGACATTTTGGTTTTATATTTGTTGCCTGTTAATAGTGACCTTCACTGTTAAGTTTTGTTTCTGTCTCATAGTGAATTCCGACAATTTCTCTTCATTTTCTCATCTTCTTTCCCCTTTTCTCTTTTAATCTGCACACTGTGTGATATTGTTGGAAATACCAGGGAATCTCCCCACAGTGGGAATAAGCTTGGGGCAAAGATTCATATTACTGCTTTCTAACAATAAGGAGTTTGGTTGTTAGTCAGTTGAAGAGTGCCGCAGCCATCAACTTTGTCACATGGGGCAAAATCAGCATCCTTGGACACTTCTGCCCCACTTCACCCATGGAGTCCCACACCGCCCACCATACGACGTAGAGTATCTTCCAGTGGGGCTTGGTGTCTGAACTGGAACAGCAGCATGGTAGAAGGCTGCCATCAGCAACAAAAAAGCAGACCTGTGTTCCAAAAGGAAAAATGGAGCTGCTCCGGGCATCAGCTGTACGACAAAGCTTTCCCATGTGGGGAAACCAAGATTGCCCCACTGCTGTCCTGATGCTGCCCTGATTTGCCACGGAGACTGGCAAATCACAACACTGGTAAGGCTGCATTTGATGAAGTCCCATCTAGAAAGAAGTGTGCATTCATTTAGCAGAGAGCAGGCAAAGGAACCAGAAAACAGAATTAGAGCTTCTCTAATCAGTTATTTATCAGGTCTTTAGGATCTGACAAATATTATGGATCACTGGGTTGGGCTTTAGGATTTATAATGGATCCAACAGGAAACATATTTTAATAATACTTGAACAAATGTGATCTAGCAACAATATTGTAGCATGGAGGCAGCTCTTATTTTCCAGGTTTCTGATTTGACCTGGGGCGTATGCTGGATCAACCCTGGGCTAGGTCAGACTGGCAGCCCTGCAGCCAATGCCGTTTTTCCATTTTTAAAGAAGTCACGAGGGGAGAATTCATCTTGGTCCAAAATTGATGGTGCTCCCAGAAGCTTCTCAGAATTAGCAAGTTTCAAGATAATGCATATGATTTCCACACTTTGTTTTTAAATGTTCTACTGCATTCTCAAGGGAAAGCAGTGATTATAGCAATGGATTGCAATCCCCGGGTAACGTGGCTTCCCTAACATAGATGCACTTTGTTTCTTCTTTTATTTTTTTTATTGAATATATATGTAGGATATTACAATGCAAAATCACATCACTGAAAAGTCAAAAGAAATAAACAGGCAACAATGTTCCATTAAGTTCTCATTCATTTTGGTATATTCTATTCTCTCGACTTTTCTGTTTCCATACATATCTACTACTTATATCAATCAGTTTTACCCCACTCCCTCCCCCTTACGCTCTTTCTGCTTCGCTCCTTTGGGAGCGCTGTTTGCGCAATGCAGAATGGAACACAGATATTATAGAAGGAATGTAAGAATTCTTTAACGTTAAAACCCTAACACTAACCCAAATCCTAAGCCTTACCCTAACCCTAACCCTTAACTCTAATCCTAACCCAAACCCTAATCCTAACCCAAACCCTAAACCTTACCCTAACCCTAACCCCTAAGCCTAATTCTAACCCTAATACTAACCCTAGCCCTAACCTTACCCTAAACTTTATTCTGACCCTCCCCTCCTTTCTATCCTTCCACCAAATTGAAGTATATTCCAGCTCTCTGTGTGCTGCTCTCACCTTCCCATATTCACAACCAGCCATTGCAGTATGTGCGTAACGTTCGGAGCTTCTGGACCCAGCTATCATACAATCACCAGGCTAAGGAGCCATTGAACTCAAAACATGAAGGAGCTCCCAACCAGCCCCAGAAACCAATACCTTTGGAATCAACGGCTGGCTTGATATTCGCATCAGGAACCTGAGCATTTGCATACTTTGCAGGAATCAACAAAGCAAGGAGCAGGAACAAAATGGCTTTTATCATCTTGATGGTGCAGAACGACCTGCAGAGGAAAAGGTGTTGCCTTTACATCCTTGACTGACTATGCCAGAGCAGCAAAATCTGGCTAACTGGAGAAGAGAAGCAAAGTTTTTCAGAAATGTATAAAATTACAACATGAGAACTTTCAAATTTCACAGAATTTCTCAGACTTCTTTTTTGGGACGCAAAGGCATATCAAAGTGAAAGAGAAACTGAAACACAGCAGAAGACTGGCAGAAATAAAAGAACATCGAAATATACTGCTTTCAAAACTGATAGTTTCTTGTGTCAAAAACTGCTCCCATCCACTGTTATTTCTCCAGAAGTTGAAACAAAATGGGGGGAATTTAAACTTAATATCATCTTGTATTAGAAGTAAACTAACTTTCAGGGTTACTGCTTGTGCGAATGGCATTGTTATTGAAAATCAGACCTCTAAATTATGAATTATAAGAGGCAGCTCCATTAGAATGTACAATAAGCCTGTATTGCCTTTTCCGTTTGATCCTGTAATAACCTTTCATGAATTTCCTTGGAATATCACCCCACCATGCCTCAGACTTCAGAATGTAATCTCCAAATTACCAAAACCCACTCACAATGTCCAGGGAGAACTCAGGACATACACAATGGGTTTTCACAAGAGTTCTTGGACCTTTTCCTATTCCCCATGATATGATCGGATTATTCCGGGGAACACTTCCTTGTCCATGTCCCCAAACTAGACCCAACCCAAGGACACCCAGTGAAATGGCCAAAACCTTAAGCACCCTCTTGTTTGTCTTGAGTGGCACAAATTGCATTAACTGGATTTGGAATTTCAAGACCCATCTCAGCCCAATATCGATTGCCCCACCACATTCTTTTCTGATTGCACCCCTCTCCTGAGTGGATCAGTAAATAATCCAATGGCAGTTTATTAAAAATTTCCCACCACAGCGGGAACCAACCAGCAATGACGTTGTAGACAGCCCTGAACCAATCAGGGAGCAGATCCTAGCCAGACATTTATTAGACCAATCAGGAGCTGGTATGGCATTCTTGAATAGTTGTCAAAATACAATAAATATGCCTATCTCTTCACAGCTGTAGTATGTCAGTTCTTTGGAGTGGTGCCCCAAATGACATCCTCATTGGCAATTGAGAAGAAAGCCTCTGATTAGTTGGTTTTTTAACTGAGCAAATCAGATTTGAGTTGCAATTATGTGCTAATGATGGACATCTAATTGTTAAAATGTATAAGATGTTTTTGAAATGGGAAATACTAGATAATCAAGTTAAAGAATGCATGACAAAGTGGGCACAAGATGGTGGCCATAACATAATGTTGGATCACTGAAAGAAAATGTGGATCAAGGGGTTAAAATTTACATTATGTTATAATTTGAAAGAATTTGTAATAAAATGATGTATCAATGCTATGACTCCTGAAAAGCTTTTAAAGTTGTCTAAAGAGGTTTCCATCACTTGCTGGAAATGTAAACAGCTAGTGTGGGTCTTTCTACCATATGTGGGGGGCATGTAAACATGGCAAGAAATACTGGATAGAAATACATAAGGTGATCCAGAAAATTTTGGGGGAAAATATCCAGTTAAAACCTGATACTTTTCTATTTGTTCTGACTGATATAAATTACTATGAAAGATTGTTACAATATATGATCACAGCAGCCAGACTGCGCTACACGCAGAAATGGAAGAACTCAGCAGCACCAACAGCAGAAGATTGGATGATAAAAATGATAGACTTGGCCAAGGTGGATACATTACCCTGTTTACTGTAAGAAGGGACATTGGAAAAAAATTGAAATATTGGAAACCTTTTGTTCACTTTTTGCACGGGGCAGAGAAGGACTTGCTAATTTTTTTGAAGACTAATTTTCCATTAGGTCTATCATTTTTTGCAACGAGTACAGTCTCAGCTAGAGCCATTGTAGTGCCGGGGTTTTAGCGTTTGACTACATCTTGAGTGGTAGGATTTGGAAATCATCCACATATGACTGACCTGGCCATTCCAACAGTATTGCAATGAATTAATTTTGATCCTTTGCCTGATAACCTTTGTCTGATAACCTCTGAAAGCCACTTTCTGAACAATCATTGGAATGCACTGGGATGGACATTAAACATCAATGGGCATCTATAGCTAGAACAGCTGAATCTAGCACCAGCACCTCCTATGAGCCCCCTGACTGGGCTTTGGAAGACTGGGAAACTCCCCAGAGCTGGTTTTTGATGGGACAGATGTTTAAAGCAGGATGGGGTAGAAATCGTTTCACCATGACCATGTGCTTTAGTAATAAAGCATTATACTGTAATATAAAAAAGAGAAGAAAATTAATGCTCCAAATGCCTTGGGGTTAATTTAAAATAATTTCCTTACGCATACCAAATCTGAAAATATAGCAACAAGAGGGATAAACTACTATAAATGTTTCATTCAGGATTTTCAAAAGATCTCCTCCACTAAGACGTCAACTGGAACGTTATCAGTTTACTCCATTATGAAGAAATTATTAATAACACAACCAATGTATGAACTAAAGTTAAAAATACAAGGTTATCAGCACTGTTTGTAATATGTATTCAGAAAAAAATCAGAAGCTTACCTATTGTATTCCAACTTTGTTAATAATAATAATAATAATAATAATAATAATAATAATAACTATTTTTATACCCCGCCACCATCTCCCCGAAGGGACTCGGGGCAGCTTACAAGGGGGCAAGCCCAAAAATACAGATTAAAGCAAACACAATAAAATAAAATGAAACAAATAAAATCAACAACAACATCAGAAAAACAATTACAATCATAGTGCACATTTTAAAAACAGTAGAATGGCTGAGAGAGTAGGTGCTGAGTGCGGAGGGATCAGGAAATGTGCAATCGTTCCTAGATAGAGCACAGGGAAAGTGCAAAATACAATTCAGTTCAGTTCAGGTCACAGCTGGGAGGGCAACGTCCTTAGACATTTAAAGTAACAGGATTACAAGTGGGAGGGCTAATGAAAGTGCAAAGGGCTATGGCTAGATCGATCTAATTCTCTGGTGAACGGCCTAATCAAATGCACAGTGGAGCAATCAGGTTTTTAACTCCTTGCGAAAATAGAAAGGGTAGGCGCCAATCTGATTTCTTTGGGTAGTGACTTCCAGAGCCAAGGGGCCACCACCGAGAAGGCTCTCCCTCTCGTTCCCACTAGCCGTGCTTGAAACGGCGGTGCAAGCGAAAGCGAGCCTCCCCAGATGATCTTAAGGTACATGCTGGTTCGTAGGGGGAGATGCGATCTCGAAGATAGGCAGGTCCTGAACCATTTAGGGCTTTGTAGGTGATCACCTGCACCTTGAATTGGGACCAGAAAATTATTGTTAAAAGGAGGAGGAGGAGGAGGAGGAGGAGGAGCTCAAACTCACCTTCAAGTGCAAGGAATTTCTTTCAAAAGCTGTCACGTTTTAAGTGAACAAACTACTTTTAAATAAAGCAGAATGGCATATTCTGTAATGATTTACTTTTTCACAAATCTAAACAAACACACACCTTATACACAGACATTTTGGTGATCACAAATGAAGTAACACACTTTACAGCATTGTAAAAAAAATCCCTTGTTTGCTCAAAATTTATTTCCCAGAATAAAAAGGGAACAAGACACACACTTTGGCCAGAATGTTTACATATGAAAATCCCCTGGCATGAAAGACATTTAAAATAACATGCAATCTACTCTTGAATTTAGGAAAGTCTGGAGTTTGAACCATGATAAAAATTAGATCCTTGTTCCTCATATATGTTCCTCATACAGATTATCAAACAACTACACTGTCTTTTATTCACATATCTCCCATATCCCATCTGCCAGGTGTGTGTGTCTGTTTCTCCCTAGCAATTGGGAAAATGGTTCAATAAAAGTCCAATGTTTGCATAGTAGAGCGCATGGACCAGCAAGCATTGAATCTTTGTTTTGGGGGCATGGTAACTCAGAGGACAAATGGTAGTCTTGGATGGCACAGGTTTTTAAGACTCATTTGAAACTGGCTTCAGAGAAGGATAAAAGAATTGAGACCCATGTGATCATATGACTGTGTTTCTTTCCCTGCTTTTCAATCTTTCAGTGGCATTTGACACCATTGACCAGATCCTTTGAGAATGCTTGAAACATCTGGAAACAAGGGATAACTGTCCTTCCGTTATTGTGATCTTACCTCTTAGGCACACTTTGCATGTGGTGCTTGGAAATAGTAGTTTCTCAAAAAAGGAACTCTTATATGGCACGCCACAAGGTCCCATTCTATTTCCAAAGCTGTTTAACATCTATATGAAACTTAGAGAAATAGTAGATATGATACTGTGGTCAAAAATACTGAAAGAGAAGTGAGTTCATGATGGCAGGGAACTTTTTAAGATAATGAAGTCACAATTTCAGACAATCCCAACATGAAGGAAAAATAGGTTTAAAGAAACCAGAATGGACATGAGTGTGATGGATGCAGCGTGTAGGTAGGCCATGTGAACATACCAAGAAAGCCTTGTCTATGTGAAATAAGCAATACCAACGTGCATGTATTTTTATGCAGCAAAGGTGACAATTAGTATGGTGCACTATATACTCCCCTTTCCAGTGTATCTGTGTATCCACACTGTGGTCAAGGAATCATATAGTTACTTTGTAGTATGTGTAATTGTATTGAAAAAGCTGATTCCACGTCACTTCTTTGTTCTCAGCTCACTCCTTTTAGCCGTTCTCCTTCTTCTCAGGGCCCTTCCACACAGCCATATATGAGCGATGAGTCCAGGAGGACTCCCAAGCTACGGACCTGTGGTTTCAGGGGGAGTGTAACCCTGTCCAACACAGGTTGCCACCCTATACCCCGATCTGGTTTACGATCGACCAGGAGGACCTCTGTCTTGTCGGGATTGATCTTCAGCTTGTTCGTCCTCATCCAGATAGACACAGCGGCCAGGCACTCGTCTAGCACCCGAGAGGCCTCCTTGGAATTAGGTGGAAAAGAGTAGTAGAGTTGTGTGTCATCTGCGTAGAGATGGCACCCAACTCCAAAACTCCGGATGACCTCTCCCAGCAGTTTCATGTAGATGTTAAAAAGCATGGGAGATAGAATAGAGCCTTGCGGGACCCCACAGTGATCAGACCATGACACTGGAAGGATGTTTTGTTCTTCCACTCTGATCATTCCACTGTCCGCCACAAAAACTAGGTCGAGAGTATGTCCAGCCTGATGGGTGGGTCCTGATGTAATTTGCGACAGTCCTATGGTCGTCATGGCAGCCATAAAGTCCTGAGCTGTGCCAGACAAAGAGGTCTCAGCGTGAATGTTAAAATCTCCCAGCACCACCAAGCGCTGGGAGACCAGGGCCGAATTAGAGACCACTTCCGCTAGCTCAGACAGGGAAACTACTGGGTCGCGGGGTGGGCGGTACACCAGCAGAAACCCCAGACTGTCACGGTTCCCCACCCTCAGGTGGACACACTCAAACCCAGATGCTTGCGGTACAGCGCATCTGGTCACGGCGATGGATTGCCGAAAGACCACTGCGACCCCTCTTCCCCGGCCCCCCTGTCTGGCCTGCTGATGCACCCCGAAGCCCGGTGGGCACAGCTGAGTGAGATTTACTCCCCCCAGCTCGTCCAACCAGGTCTCCGTGATGCATGCCAGATCCGCTCTCTCATCCAGAATCAGGTCCTGGATGGCAGAGGTCTTACCATTAACGGATCTGGCATTAATCAGCAAGACCTTGAGACCGAGGGGACTGCCATGGCACCTACCACTTCCTACGTTCTCCAGGGTCGCAAGAACTCTGTTGCGCTTCTCCCTGGGGTGTTGGTGACCCACGAATCTCCTCCCCCACACGACCTGAATGGCGCCCCCCCTGGGTCCCCCCCCCCCCACATAGTTGGAATCCGTAGCTAGTCAACTCTCAGAAGAGGTAAGGCTGGAGTATAATCTCCCTTGGGTGTTAGATAGGGATGCTTCCGATGATGGGGTAGATGGGGAGTCAGCAAAGGAGCTGAGTGGGCTGAATAAAGGAAGTGTCCTTGGGCGAGAATGAGTGGCTGATTGTGTGGAGACAACTGGGGCAGATGGYGTCTCGAACTGGTACAAGCCAGGAGGGGGAGCCCTAACCGGGGAACTGTCTGTGGAATTCTCACGGGGGCCTGTTGGAACAAAACGAGAAGGCACCCCGGTGTCAAAGAGGGGGCGAATGAAGGGGTCCACAACTACCCTTCTGATGGTAATGCCCCATTTCTTTAGACAGAATTGCATTGTCATTAGCTCCCCAAGCCATTMGTTGTCTTCTGGTGTAATTAGAAGACGAGAGGAGCGGTCAGGAGATTGATAATCCCTCCGCAGCCATGTTATGGCCTCCAATCTTATATCCCGTGGTCTTTTRCCTAAGATTTGGGCTAATGKGTCACAGACCGCCCTCCTAGAGGTCCTATGTACGACTATTTACAGGTCTGATATCAGCATACAAAGACACTCACAACCATAGCAAGACACTCACACAATGAGAATGGTGATGAATTACAACTGCAGAGAGATCACAGCAATCTATCTATAAGACGGCAGAGAGCAAGCACATGGCAAAGAGGAAGTTCACATACAAGCCACTCCCATATAACTCAGCTGCCTCTGTAGGCCAGTGGTTCTCAACCTGTGGGTCCCCAGGTGTTTTGGCCTACAACTCCCAGAAATCCCAGCCAGTTTACCAGCTATTAGGATTTCTGGGAGTTGAAGGCCAAAACATCTGAGGACCCACAGGTTAGAACCACCGTTCTAGAATCACATCTCTTCTTTCTTTAACCCTTTCAGTGGAATGTACTGTGACTACATGTCCATTAGAACTGTATTTTTAACATAATGTATGTACAGATTTTCCAGCCATGGTTTCAATGGCCATTTGAAGGCAACCACAAGGCTGAAATGAGTTTGAGACCTTCTGCGATATATCGGCATCATGTTACAATGGTCTGCTGTCAATCACAGAATCAGGTTAGATTAGATGGCCTTGATGGTCTCTTCCAACTTCCCTGGTTTTATGGTTCTACTAGCTGTACCCGCCATGCGTTGCTGTGGTCAACCTTCCCGCCCTCTTTCTCTCCTTCTTTCTTTCTCTCCTTCCTTCCCTCCCGCCCTCTTTCCTCCCTTTCCTCTTTTTCTTTCCCTTCTTCTTCCTTCCTTCTCTGCCTGTTTCTTTTCTCGCTTCCTTTGCTCTTTGGTTCCATCCTTCCTTGTCTCTTTCCTTCCCTCCCTCTTTCTCTTTTTCGTTCCTTCTCTCCTTCCTTCCCTCTTTCACTTTATTTACTTCTCTCCTTCCTTTGTTTTCTACCTTTCTTTCCTCTCTCTTTCTTTCCCTCCTTCTGTCCATCCTTCCTTCTCTACCCTTCTTTCCTCCCTCCCTTCTTTTTTCCCTTTCTGTGTATGTGTTTTGTGTGTGCGCATGCATATATGTATGTATATATGTGTGTTTCTGTATATGTGTCCAAATTTGATGTCAATTCGTCCAGTGGTATTTGAATTATGCTAATCCCACAAACAAACATTACATTTTTCTATATATGGTTTTCTGCATGCGTTGTAATGTATTTTTGGTTTTCTGGCTTTTTAAGTCGCTTTCACTGTGTTTTTCAGTGTTTTTATGAGTGATGGTCACTCATTGGCCTGAGAGGTGTCTTGTGTCCAAATTTGATGTCAATTCGTCCAGTGGTATTTGAATTATGCTAATCCCACAAACAAACATTACATT